CTTGAACCCTAGGCCTGCCTTGGTCGTGACCTTGGAGACAAGGATGGCACTGTGATCATTCCTCATGCCTTTCTCCTAGTAAGCAGGGCTGAGCATCCGTAGAAAGCAAGATCCTGAGCAACTCTGTCGCCCTGTGCCAAGTGATCAACGAATATGCAGCCTACCCAGGCTGGAAATCCAGAGCATCTCAAGGCTACCTGGAGAGTGAGGGGAGATAGCACCCTCACAAACTGCCTGCTTGATGGAAAATCATTCAGTTCCCTGGCAACCATAAATAGGCTTCAGCCATGGCCACTCTGCACAAAGGCTAGGGGTCTCTGGATATGGAGAAGAGCCCTAGAGTCCTCCTTTGGGCTGGGCACCCTTTCTAGACCTCAAGTCTAGGAAAGCAGGAGGGATTCTGGTACCCCTGAGACGCCATTCCATCTCAGCAGGGTAGGGTCTGGTGAAGGAGCACATAATCTCATTTTGCTTTCACTTTTTGGCGGTCTGATTTTTGTGGGATGAGAGCAGGAGATTGTGCACCCCTGGGCTGGAATATCCCCAAGGGAGCAGACATGTCCAGAGCTCAGTGAATCCTTCCTAGCTCACTTCTCTCCTGGCACAGAAAAAAAAAAAGTGCTTAATGAATGTGAGTTGACTGGCTAAATAGAGGTGGGGGGAGGGTGGCATGGGCACTTTGCTGATTTCCTCTGTCCTCATGAATTACAGCGTTGATACCCCTGTGACACAGGATAAGACTAAAGCTTCAGGAGGTGGGACAAGGTGCCTGGGTCACACAGATGGTAAGCAGTGTGTGTCTGTATGCTTTGAGTGTGTGTGTTATGTGTGTTGGCATGTATCTGTGGGTATCCAAATGTCCTCTGTATGTCTTGGAATCTGGGCACCTGGGCACCACTCTGGATTTGTGTTGCCCGTGGGCATCTCCTCCTGCAGCTGCTGTGTGGGCACCTCTGTTTTTGAGTGCGCATCTGTGTGCCTTTGTAAACCACTGTGACACCTTTCACGTTGGCTGTCCTCTTGTCTCTGCATGTCCTGGACCTTGCGGGTCGACAGCCCAGCTCTGTTGGATCTCCAAGCCCTGTTTAGTGTGCCATTGTATTTTCCTGTGTGTTGCAGACTCCCCCAATCCCTTGGCAACCCCTTGACCTCTAGGTTGTGAGTCCTGAGCCCTTTGGGCACAGCCTGAACTGGGGCAGAGGAGACATAGGCAGGCTCTGTGTAGCCCTGGAGCCCAGATTCCAGTCCTTATCTCCAACATTGGGCTCCTGACGTAAAACTGCCAACCCTGTAAGATAACGAGATGACTCTTCAGATAAAACACTTGCCACACAAGTATGAGGACCAGAATTTAGATTCTTAAATCCCACTCAAATGCCAGGTAGAACTGATGGCTCACCTGTAATCTTAGCCCTTGGGAGGCCGAGATAATAGATCCTTGGAGCGAGCTGGATAGCTAGGCTAGCCATGTCTGTGAGCGCTTGGTTCAGTGAGAGATCCTACCTCAGTAAATAAAGTGAGGAGGGATGGAGACGGATACCAGACATCAGACTTTTGTCTGACCTCCACATGCATCTGCATGCATCTGTGCACACGCTCCCCGCCCCCCGCCACGCACACACATGTATACACAGGCAACAAAATCAACAACAAAAATCGTCAACCCCAGAATGAGCAACCAGGATATCTGTTCGAGGTTTGTTTCCATGGCAACACAGAAGCTGGCGGGCCTCTGGCTCATAAAACAGGTCATAAAGCAGGGAGATGGGTGGGGGCGCTGCTGGGCTTAGCAATGGGGTACTTCCAGGTGATGCTGGGGTCCTAGAGACTGGATTGTCTTTCGGGGGATATGATACCTGTGCTGTCTCTACCCATGTGTTGAGTAGTCTTGGGAGAGTTCCTCTGTCTCCCTGAGCCTCAGTTTCCTTCTCCAAGAATGGGAACAGAACTAGCTCCATAGTTCTGCCCCTCAGGTGTGATGCTGACTGAATTCAGGAATGCCCTTGGTGAGAGGGCCCAGCAGGACTCATCTGGAATGAGTTCTCAGGGCCTCAGGGACCCATAGGGAGAGATCTGAGGAGAAGCAGCAACAAGAATAAAGATTTCGTTGGGTTGAGAGCTGGATGCACACCTCTCTTTGTCTGTAAGCTGTGGGACCTTGAGGAAGGGCTGAAATCTCTGGGCTGAACTGAGCTCTGAAAGAGAGACCAAAATGTCACA